GAGAGAGCGCGCGCATGTGTGCGCACGAGAGAGAGAGAGAGAGAGAGAGAGAGAGAGAGAGAGAGAGAGAGAGTTCTCTGTGTGGGGGGTAGTTCTCTCTCTCTCCCGTCTCCCCACCACCACCCGCCAAGACCCCAGCTGTTTTGCATCAGGGCATGAAAAGCGAGGATACGCCAGGGGGACGCAAGGCAGCCGATCAAACGATGCAGTTCAGTAAGGAAATAAACTAGATTTCCAAATTTATGGCTGGAAATGGTTGCCATTGATCAGCGGCGTTGACGGGCGATCGCGTCCCTTTGGGCTGAATGATTAGGAAAGCATATCTAAGCATTCAAGATGACTTCCCCTCCGCACCCCCCCTCCCCTCCCCTCCCTCCTTTAGCTGGATGTGTGTGTGCCTGCGTGTTCACGGCAAATGCTTCAAAAGTCTCTGGGTGAAAGGGGGGGGGGGGGGGAGGAGTCGATCTTTTTATCTAATTCTTTTTTTTCTCTTCTTCCCCCTCCCCCTTCCAGATGAAGTTTTAGGCAAGAGAAGAGCCTGTTCTCCCAACAGCAGCAGTGAATGTCCTCTGGAAAACAAGAAATCCCGGAGTGAGTCCCCAAAAGGTAGGTACTCTCTCTCTCTTTTTTTTTTTAAAAAAAGCAGCCTTCCAGTTTCAGAAGTGTGGGACGGTTGACATTTTGCCATGGGGGAGGGGGCAGAGGGGATCGGATGCTCGGAGCCTGGAGCCTGAGTCATCTTTCCTCTCCGCTCGGCTCAAAGGACTCTTCTTTTCTCCGATCAGCCAGCGAGAGAGACGTCCCTTAATGAGCATGACTCTTAATTTACGCCGACCCCCTATATCTCCTCCCCCCCCCCCAACCCGGGTAGGTCTGGTTAAGTTTCCTCATCTTTCCAAGTCTTCCATACCCAGATGAAAGCGCCATCATCACAAAAACGTCGCGTCTCGCTTCCCTTTCTTGCCGAATGCTCGAGATTAATAACGAAAGCAGCATGCGCCTCATTTCCTTCCATGTTGTTTGCTTCCCCCCCTCCGCTTTTTTCAGAGGAGGGATTTTTTCAAGTAGAAATTAAAAAGAAAAACAAGACAAAACTCTAGCCGGAGTGCAAAGAGTTACGTTGGGCATACCAAGGGCGGGAAGCATGTCTAATGGGATTTTAGCACCCACCCCCCACCCCAACTCTTATAACAGCAGAAAGCGTACCACAGACACACACACAGACCATGTCCTATCACAATATGCTTTGGAAACTCTTCCTTGCGTCAAAAGTAGTTTGCTGGGGTGGGGGGCGATGCTCCCTCTAAGCTGTGGAGTCTTGTGAGCAAAAATTCTATTTTGTGAGCTACAGGCATTAAAGTTGTGAGCGTGCGATTTGGCTCATATAAATCAGTTTTCTTTGGAGCCATCCTTCCTGAGCTGAGACAAAATGTGTGAGCCAGAGGCTAAAAAACCCTGTGAGCTAGCTCACACTCACTCAGCTTAGAGGGAACACTGGTGGGGGGTGGGGGAGGATCCTGTCCAGGAGACGCAAGACGGAATGCAGACTATCTGATCTAGTTGCAGGGTTCTACAGCACTGTACTTGCGTTCAGTTTGGGGGGGTTTCACCTCCTTTCCATATAGCTGACTTTTTGGAAGCGCTTTCTTTAAGGCTGGTGATACAGAGTAGGAGATGTGCTCTTATTTTATTTATATCCAGCCTTTCTCCCCTTTGGGGACCCAGAACTGCTTACACCATTCTCCTCCCCTCTGTTGTATCCTCACAACAACCATGCAAAGTAGGTTAGGTAGGCCTGGCCAAGAACACACGTGACTGGCCCAAGGTCACCCAGCAGGCTGCTGTGGCAGTGAGGGGACTGGAACCTGGGTTTCCCAGATCCAACCACTCCCCCAAGCTAGTTTTCATACACAGGATCCAGGGGTGGGACACTCTGTACTGGAGGAAGTGCCATCTCACAACGGGAACTGTTGGAGGTGGGAAGCGTCGAAGGGTCGGTACTGGGAAGTCACACACGGTGGCCACACAGCAGCGGAGGAGTGGGACTTTCAACCTTGACCTGGAAGTGCATGGCTGGGGCACCTCTTGCCGCTGAAAGGGAAGGTCTCGTGGTTTGGTGTAGTGGTTAGGAGCACGGACTCTAATCTGGGAGAACCGGGTCTGATTCCTCACTCCTCCACATGCAGCTGCTGGGTCAGTCACAAGTGCTCCCACAACTGTTGTCTCAAGGGCAGTTCTGGAAGGAGCTCTCTCAGCCCCACCTACCTCACAGGGTGTGTGTTGTGGGGAGGGGAAGGGAAGGGAAGGGAAAGGAGATTGTACCGTTCTGAGACTCCTTTGGGTAGTGAAGGACGGAGTATAAATCCCTCCTCCTCCTCCTCCTCCTCCTCCCCTCCTCCTCCTCCTCCTCCTCCTCCTCCTTCTAGTGTTGTGTATCCAGGAGCCCTAGATAAGCAGTGGAGGCCTGTAGGGCAGGTGGCAGGTGAGCATGATTTATAGGTAGGACCAGAAGAGAAAACAAGAATGTCTTCATTTCTCGCCTTGGGCCAGGAGTGCCTCATGTCTGGGAGGAGAGAGGAAAGACAGGTGCCCCTCTCAGAGGGCACTTTAGTTCATTAGGCTGAAACTAATTAGCTTTCAGTCATGCCCACGATTATGAGAATTGCTTCATGTTAGTGCCCAGGGAGGCCCAAAGCTCTGCCGTGCGGCATCTTTGCAGATAGTCAAGAGAACCTCCCAGGATCCCCTACACCTTTTTTTGTTCTTCCCACCTGGCCTGCACTCCTGGTTGGGAAGGAAGAAGGGCACACCTGGAGTTGCCTTATACTGAGTCAGACTGTGGTCCATCAAAGTCAGCATTGTCTACTCAGACCGGAAGCAGCTCTGCAGGGTCTCCAGCACAGGTCTATCACATCACCTCCTGCCTAGTTCGTTTTTAACTGGAGATGCCAGGGATTGAACCTGGGACCTTCTGCATGCCAAGCAGATGCTATGTGACTCCAGATTCGTGATGTGACTCTGGACTCAAGTCTTGGTCATTTTGCGTGGTGCTCCCACAATGCATCCTACGCCTACAGGGTCTTGCAGAAATGTTTGTCAGCTGACATAGGGGTGGTATTTCTCTGGCCAGATTTGGTAATGAATGTTTTGAAAAATGAAATGGAAGTTTGCTAGGGTTGGGGGAGAAAAGGACACCCCCTCCCCCGCCTCAGCTTCCTACTTGAAAGGCTAAAGGTTATTTCTTTCCCCTCTCTGCTCTGTTTGCAGTGTCATCTGTTTTTTTACAAGTCCTTGCTCACAAATTCATTTTTGCGATCTTAAGGACTAGTCACTTGCTTTAAAAACTAGCAGGGATTCTCAGGTTCTGACATTCGGCACCTCTTTCAGAACTTTCGTTTTGAGAGCCATGTGTTGAAGTGGGTACAGCATCAGACTAGGGGTTGAAATAGAAGAAAAGAGAAGAAGAGATTGGATTTATACCCCACCCTTCACTACCTGAAGAAGTCAGAGTGATTTACAATCTCCTTTCCCTTCCCCTCCCCACAACAGACACCCTGTGAGGTTGGTGGGGCTGAGAGAGCTCTTTTGAGAACTGCTCCTGAGAGAACAGCTCTGAAAGAACTTCTGACTGACCCAAGGTCACACCAGCAGCTGCATATGGAGGAGTGGGGAATCAAACCCAGTTCTCCCAGATTAGACTCTGCGCTCCTAACCACTACACTGAACTGGCTCTCAAGAGACAGAGGCCGTGGGGTCCATCCCATGGCTGCCAAGGCCATTTTAAAAAGCCACTGTGGTTCTCCAAAAATTGCCACAAGGCCCCAGTCAAAACCAGGTGCACAGCACAGTGGCCCCCAGAGCTCTTCTCCCCCCACACACCCATGCCTTTGCAACTGTTCCTGGACCTGAAAAGGCATGGGGGGGGGAAACAAGAGGAGGAGGAGGAGGAGATTGGAATTATAACCCGCCCTTCACTTGGAGTCTCAGAGCGGCTTTCAAACTCCTTTCCCTTCTCTTCCCCACAACAGACACCCTGTGAGGTAGGTGGGGCTGAGAGAGCCCTTTCAAGGACTGCTCTTTCAAGGACAGCTCTGACAGAACTATGGCTTGCCCAAGGTCATCCAGCAGCTGCAAGCGGAGGAGTGGGGAATCAAACCTGGTTCTCCCAGGTTAGAGTCCGTGCTCTTAACCACAACACCAGACTGGCTCTCTTGGGGGCGCCACACCATGCCCCTGAACTGGATCGGGGCCTTGCAGAAATTTTTAAAGAATGACAAAGGATTTTAAAGTGGCGTCGGCAAACTCAGGATGGATGGTCAGCCTCCATCACTTGTATTTTGCCTCAAGCATCTGGGAGAACCAGGTTCAGATCCTAATGCTGCCATGGAAGCTCGCTGGGTGACCTTGGGCTGGTCACAGACTCTTGGCCTAGCCTACTTTACGGGCTTGTTGTGAAGAGAAAACGGAGAAGCAGAGAATGTTGCAAGCCACTTTGGTTCCCCATCGGGGAGAAAAGCGGGGTATAAATGGAAACTGAAAACACAACCGGCTTCTGTAGTGCATTTACAGATGGGGGGGGGGGATAGAGCACCAGAGCCAGCAGGGCGGTGCAATGATCACCCCCCCCCCCGAAGAATCCAGTTTCCTCTTGCATCTTCTGTCTGCTGTCCTGAAGCCATTTTCCTCCGCTGGCCCAAATCCGCCTCTCCATTTCCTGTCTTGCCTCTCCCCCCCCCTCCGCTCCTCGGAGCTGCAATTAGACCGACATCAATATTCCAATAGGGATCCAGGTGGGACACTGAAATGCATTTTGCTCCGGGAGACGCCAGCTTATCGGAGGGGGACCAAAGTGCCCTTAACCTGTAAAACGCTGCTCTGCAGCAGCACTAATTTCCTCTTAATATGTTAGCAGGATCCGTCTGCAGGCTGTCTCCGACTCCTGCCCCCCCCTCCCCCCAGCCATGGCATCCTCTGAAAAATTAATCAAGGTGATAGCAGTTTAATCCATCTCTTGGAGAAGGCAGCTAAGCTTTAATCAGGCTTTCCCCGAGACCTGGCTATCCATCGCTTTGGAATCAATGCCGCTTATCCCAGACCCCAAATAAGACCACCGCCCCCCCCCCATCCCCGCACAAATTGAAGTTTCCCCCCCTGGCTCGGGCTACGCTCCCCTCTAATATTTGGACGGCTTCGGACTGGATCAACAGATTATCAAATAAGACTCGAGAGTGTTGGGAATGATCTTTGTGCCATTGCTTACCGGTGGAGGTTTAAATGAAAAGGACGCGAGGCATTTTCTCCTCCAGACAGGGAGCCCGAAAGGGTTTTTTTGCATTCCCCTGTAGTGGGTGGCTTGACATGGATGCACAACTCACCTTGGAGCTGTTTTTTGCTACCTTTTCTTCACCTGCTCTCTGCTTATGCCGGGGTAGCTTGCTAGGCTGGGCCCCACCTTTGCCTAGGGGCTTAGATTGCAGTGAACATCTCTGTAAGACTTTCTATTTCCTAGGGAAGCTGGCTGCCTGCCAACCTTCCCTCCCCTCTAGAGCCATTCATTGGCTGAGCTGCTGTGATGTCACAGAAGAGCTCATGAACATTCTAACCAC